CGAGCATACTCCCCTGTGGCACACCTACTGTGCTTTGCAAAATTTTTGATTTGTAGGACATACCGTCCTGGCGTATAATCACCCTTTGGGTTCTCTTATTTAAACATGAGCGAAACCACTCAAGAGCGCGCCCCCTGATCCCATAAATTTCTAGTTTTTTCAGCAGTAAATTTCGATTCAGATAGTCAAATGCCTTTGAAAGATCCAAGAATATTCCTAGAGCCATGTCGCCGGCCTCCAGATGTCTCAAAATTGCTTGTGTGAACTGAAAGATCGCCGTTTGAGTGGATCGTCCCTTCATGTACCCATGTTGGTTTCGCGAAAGAATATCAGACTCCATCATAAAATTCATTAACCGTTCGAACATGACAACTTCAAATAACTTTGAGAAAGCCGGTAGTAGGCTGATGGGTCTGTAGTTATCTAACATGTTAGAATCGTCTTTGTTCTTATAACATGGTCTAATTGCAGACAACTTTAGAGACTCAGGAAACACTCCTTCTCTCAGTGAGTTATTTATGACAAAGCAAGACTTAGGACAAAAATGATCTTTAATCTTAAATCAATACTTTGTTAATATTCAGCATAGGAGTACATTTAAAATGATTTTTTCTAGACACTCAGTAGGGTTTAGTTCAGTTTCTTCAAATCACTTCTAATCTAATTCCAGTTATTTATTGCGAGTCTGCATTGCTACTTCCGAATGTTCCTCTTTTCTACACGTTCTATTCCACTAAGTCAATGATTAATTAAAAATCTTGAATGATTGCATTAGGAAATTTTAGTTCGGTAAAAGAAGAATGATACTAGTAAAAAGTCGCCGATTTTTATGGCTCCCACATTTCAGTCGGTTAAACCGCTTGAATAAACGAGTTTAATTATTTTTTACCAAAAAGTCAGGGTATTGTAATGCAAATTACCCAACTTTGTTGCAAGGAGAGATTTGGTGAAAGCCCAAACCATTGATAATTTTCACACATATACATTTAATTGCTTTTACCAAATTAAGCAAACCCAAACTCACAATTCCAGTACGGTATTTCGGGAGGCCGTCACAAAAGTATTTTACTTATCCCAGATACTAAACATGATGGAAACTTTTCTGTACGATAAGCGACCGCTAACAGCATAATCCGAAAAGCAATAAACGAAAATTTAACGCCCCATTAAGACTGCCGCTGCTTAAAAATTAGATCCTAGGAATAGTGAAAGTTTTAGCGGTCCCGGCCAAATTAACATCCGATTATTATTTAATTACCAGCACTTAAACGGATTACTCACTTAGGATTACGTAGACGTAGAATATGAGATCACGCCTAAATTAATTTGTAGTAAAATGATTTGGTGCGAGTTGCCACAACACCAATTTCTATTCTCTATCACTTTAACTGGTTGATTTACTTCAACAGACAGACAGATTGTTTGAGTATATGTATATTTCAATTTATAAATAATATTTAAGTGTTTTTAGTTTGTTGGAGTTCTTCGAAGGAAAACATCACGAAAACATGTAATGTACAACATGTATTCAGTTTGCAAATTTTAGATTTGCGTGTTTTTTTTGAGTTGCCCAATCGGCTCAAACATGCCACTGCTTTCTTCCAAGTTTCTCAAGGACGATTTGAGCCACAGAATTCGTTCAGTAACATGAGTGAGGAAATTCGAATAGTTTTGACCCACAAGGCGACATTTGAATATCATACACTTCTAGTGTATAGGTGTCTATATTATGCCAAAATTTCATGTTTTGCGTCCCGCTTTTGTGCATTTCTCGGGAGAAAAAAGAGCAAGAAGCCGCATTTTTACATCATTCGAAAGAGAACTAAATGACCTTTTTAGAAAGTGAACCATCGATAACGAAAAGTTGGCAGTTTTCTTAAAAAGTCTTGATTTTAGGAAGTTTTAGATTTGCGTATTTTATTTGAGTTGCCGAAGCGACTCAAACATGACACTGCTTTCTTCGAAGTTGCTCAAGAACCATTTGAGCCACAGAATTCGTTTTGGCACCGTTGGAAAGAGAATTGAAAATTCAATTCAGTGATAATGACGTGAGTGAGGAAATTCCAGTAGTTTTGATACAGAAAGCGAAATTTGAATATCATAGACTTAGGTGTCTAGATTATGCCAAAATTTCATGTTTTGCGTCCCGCTTTTGCTCATTTCTCGGGAGAAAAAAGAGCAAGAAGCCTCATTTTTACATCATTCCAGAGAGAACTAAATTACCTTTTTAGAAAGTGAACCATCGCTAACAAAAGTTGGCAGTTTTCTCAAAATATTTTGATTTTAGAAAGTTTTAAATTTGCGTGTTTTTCTTGAGTTGCCGAATCGACTCATACATGACACTGCTTTCTTCGAAGTTTCTCAAAAACCATTTGAGCCACAGAATTCGTTTTGGCATCGTTGAAAAGATAATTGAAAACTCAATTCAGTGATAGTGACGTGGGTGAGGAAATTCGAGTAGTTTTGACGCAGAAAGCGAAATTTGAATATCATACACTTAGGTGTCTAGATTATGCCAAAATTTTATTTTTTTCGTCCCGTTTTTGCTCATTTCTCGGAAGCCAAATGAGGAAGAACCCTCATTTTTACATCATTCGAGAGAGAACTAAATGACCTTTTTAGAAAGTGAACCATCGATAACGAAA